AAATATGGCACAAAATCTAAACGGAAGAAATTTCGTAGTGGTAATTTCAAAAATGTAGACAAAGCCATATACACTTGGTTCGTTGCAAAAAGAAGTCAACAAGTACCAATTGATGGTACAATACTAAAATTCGCAGAAACGTTAGGAGAGTTGAATTTTAAAGCATCTGATTGTTGGTTTCATAATTGGAAAGAAAGGTCAGTTAAATTTTGCCAAATCTTGTTCAATTTTAATATAAACAAATAACATGTATCTGTTTATATTTAATTTACTTAGTTTTTTAAACATGTAATTAAAATTCAATTATTCTGTTTCTATTTTTAGGAACAGCATCAGCTTTAAAATAAGCACAGGTGAAAGTGCCGCCGTGACGAATAATATGACTGCTTTGTGGAATGAAACTACACTTCCAAAACTGCTTTTGAATTACAAACTTGAAAACATTTTCAATGCCGATGAGTTTGGACTATTTTACCAGTGCCTACCAAACAAAACATACCATTTATCACCAGAAAAATGTTTTGGGGGAAAAAATAGTAAAGTCAGACTAACAGAAATAGCAGCAGGGAGTGCAACAGGAGAAAAATTACCTATATTTGTCGTTGGAAAATCTAAAAACCCACTGTATTTTAAGCACATTAAACAACTTTCTTGCACATATAAAAATCAGGTAAAAAGTTGACCGGAGACCTTTTTACAGAATGGATAATGAAACTTGACTCATTTTTTCGTGCTCAAGACAGGAAAGTAGCACTCCTGGTGGATAACTGTTTTGCCCACCCACACATTGAAGGGCTAAGCAACATCAACCTAATATTTTAACCCCCATAACAACACATCTGTCCTTCAGCCCATGGATCAAGGCGTAATACGAAGTCTTAAAGCTCATTATCGTCACAAAATTGTGCCTTTGTGTATCAAGGCTGTCGATAATAACCAACTCATGCCAAAAATTTCTATACTTCAAGCAATGAAAGATCTTGTTTCTTCGTGGAACGCTGATTTAATGAAGGTAGAAAAGATGGATAATTTAAAGCAATATCAGATAACAGATTTTTTCTAAAAGTTGTAGTTTTTGTTGTTAATGATTTTTGTCAGAAAAATAACTTGTTTTATTTATTTTCAACCCTTTTCTTGATATCTTGAACTCTCGATATCTCGAACTTTTTTTCCGGTCCCCTTAGTGTTCGAGATATCGAGAGTCAACTGTATTTCGCTTGAAATGCTCTCAAGCAATTTGTTTTCATAAAAATAACTACATGAAATGGATAAATTTGCAACATCCATGTGTGACTTCTGTGCGTGATTTTTCATGAAAAGCATTTAAACCATTGCTGTGATTTTATGATGAAACCATTTAAACCATTGCTGTGATTTTATGTGCAATCCTGTAACTTTCCGGAAATCTTTACTAATGTTTAAAATATTATTTTAAAAAAAAAAAAGTAACATCAGAAACTAATATTTTCTGTGAAATTAAAGTTTATTTATCTATTAACTAAAATTGAAGTTTTTCTGTTATGTGCATGATTTCACTTCAAACTTAATTTATTCTTACACATAAATAGTGATACCTTTTTTTTTTTACAAAATATTTATATTGATTAGAATTAAATAAAAGTAAATTAGAGATCGCCAGTTTTATTTTTATGAAAATCATAGGAAAAACATATACCCGTTTCCGTGCGTGAATTTTCAGAAATATATATATATATATATATATATATATATATATATATATATATATATATATATATATATATATATATTTAAATAATTTAAAATGTATTCTACAAAATGAGTGCTCAATGTTCTTAAAAGAACAGACCAATTACAAATTAGTAGAAAATCACTTAGCAAAATTTTTTCTTATTTTAACACTGTGTTTCATCAATAAAGACTCATCAGAAAAATAAGATGAATATATATATATATATATATATATATATATATATATATATATATATATATATATATATATATATATATATATATATATATATATATATATGTATATAGCCTAACATTAAAAAATGTCATAAATTATAGAAATGATTTTAATCTGTCGTTTCACTTGGAACTTTTTTATTTAAAACTTTAATCCCTTTTAAACTTTTTAAACTTTAATTTAATTTTAAACTCTAATCTAATAAGAGGAATTAAAAAATCTTAAATTTTAAATTACTTTTAAATTTGAAAATTAATTAAATTTAAACATATTGGCGAAACAAGTTTGACTTATACTCAGTAAAAAAGTTCAGATAAAATTTAAATTAAAAATAAAGTATTGTTAAAATGGTTAAAATAAAAAATAAAATGGGTAATACCTGTGTAAATTTAAAACTACCCATTACCCAGGTAATTTTTTTCTGCCAGGTAATGGAAACAATAAAATGTATTCTAGTAAATAGAGTTCTCAATATCCTTTAAAAAAACAGAGCTATCAGGAAGATACATCAGAAATCAGATTTCTCTGATGAGTCTTAGTTGATCAAACAACGTGTAAAGTAAAAAAAAAAAAATTGTATAAGTGATTTTCTGCTAATTTATATATATTTACATTATAGTAAAATAAATATTAAGTTTAAACAAAACAATACTTTACCAAATAAAGCAAAAGAGGAAACCAATAATAGAACCTATAAGACGGTTTTTCATTGTTTGACAAATAAAAAAAGGAGCTCCAACGATGGCTACAATTCCAGAAAATAGCACTTTGAAAATAACTAAAAAAAAAATGTATATATATATATATATATATATATATATATATATATATAATATATATATAAATATAAATATATATATATATATATATATATATATATATATATATATATATATATATATATATATATATATATATATATATATATATATATACTCTTGCATGGTAGTCAGAAAGAGTTTCCCATAAACTGTAGTTTTGAAAAGCGCGTTAATAAACCAGACCAGAAAAAGTTTAAAAACTTAAATTTTTATTTTTTTTTAAATGATAGACTGCCTGCCCAAACCAAACCCTCAGTCGGTGTAGCAGCACTCCCTTGTGAGTCAGGCTATTTGTCAGTCGTTGTAGCAGCACTCCCTTGCAAGTCAGGCTATTTTTCAGTCTATGTAGCAGCACTCCCTTGCGAGTCAGGCTATTTGTCAATGATAAGATAGTCGATGTAGAAACACTCCCTTGTAGCAGCAGGCTATAAGATAGTCGATGTAGCAACATTTACGCATGTTTTAAAAATGTTTTTTAATAAAATAAAAACAAAAACACCACTAATTAAAAAAACGTTCTAGTCGTTATTATTGCGGTTTTATATATATATATATATATATATATATATATTATATATATATATATATATATATATTATATATATATATATATATATATATATACATATACATATATATATAAATCTATATATATATATATATATATATATATATATATATATATATATATATATATATATATATATATATATATATATATATATATATATATATATATATGTATATATATATATATATATATATATATATATATACATATATATAGCAAGGCAGTTGCAGCTAATCATAGACCAGTTTCTCTCATCAGCTGTGTGCAAAATACTAGAAGATATTACTCTTAAAAAAATTATTTTTACAAAAATAATTTGCTAACAGAACATCAACATGGATTCATAAAGAATAAATCATGAGCAACAAATCTATTAGAAACAATTGATTTTATTACGTAGAACATGGAAAATCATAATCAAGTTAATGCTGTTATACTAGATTTTGAAAATTTTTATCAGTTTGGTCAATTTAAATTCAGATTTGTGAGTCAAAGAAATCCAGAATGAATTCAATAAAGTATTTGAATGAACTTAAGACTCATTGCTGAAATTCAGCATAAACAAGTGTGTTGTGATGCATTATGGTTCAACTTATAAAAATTATCCGCTTTTCATTAATGATATACAACTTCATGATTCTAAGTCTGAAGGAGATCATGGAGTTATATTTTCTACAAATCTTAAATGGAAAGATCAAGTAACAATGGCAATTGGAAAAGCAAATCAAATGACAAATAAAGAAATTGTTTGTAAGCTTCAATTGTCAACTTATGAAATGTCTTTATTTAACATTCATTCGTCCACTTCTTGAATTTGTAACTCCAGTTTGGACTCCTTATATGAAAGGAGATTGTAATGCAATTGAGAAAATACAACACAGAGCAACTAAAATTGTTTCTTCAATTAGCAGTCTCAAATATGAAGATCAACTTATTGCTTTAGGCTTAACAAACTTAACTGAGAGAAGAAAAAGGGGAGATTTGAAAGCATTATACAAACTTATGCACAGTATAGACAAAACAAACATAGGAAAATGTTTTCCACTAGTTAAAATTTTTTTAAGAGGGCATTGTTTTAAATAAAGAATTCACAAAACATCCTTCAAGGAACATTTTCTTTTTAACAGAACAGCGAACACATGGAACTTACTTCCGATTGAAATTTAAAAGAGCTCTTGATTGCTGGCTGATTATATATCGATATATATATGCATATATGTATATATATATATATATATATATATATATATATATATATATATATATATATATATATATATATATATACATATATATATATATATACATATATATATATACATACATATACATATATATATATATATACATATATATATAAATATATATATATATATATATGTATATATATATATATATATATATATATATATATATATATATATATATATATATATATATATATATATATATATATATATATATATATATATACAATTCAGAGATTGAAAGATAAATATGTATATTTAATATATTTGTTTTTATTTAAGTTTACATTTAAATTTGTTAACATTTAATAAAAAACTTACAAACATTTTTTTTTATTCCATAAGATGTTTACACTGAGTAAAATATAGCATCTTCTAAAAGCGCGTTTACTATCTGAATGTCTACTTCAGTATTCCAATATTTTGGAATGAACTGAACCTGATAATCAGTTAGCAAGCAATTCTATTGTAGCATAATACAACTTCGGAAACAACTTGCAAATTATTTATTCATTTGTATCAATATTTTGACTTGATTTCAGCAATGTTTTCTACTAAAAATATGAAGTTCCGCACAAAACATAACAACGTTTTGGGTTAACCAAGATGACTTTCAAAACTGGCTTCAGCGTGACTAATATGGTAGTCGGTAAAATGCGAACTGCGAACCGCGAACTGCGAATTGGTAAAATGTGCGAACCATGGTTCTATTGGTTGTTAATGATGTAATACTTTATTTTCCGTTTGCCGTTAAATTGTTTATTTTCCAAAATATTTTAAGGACTACACGCAAAAGCATTTATTTAAAAAAACAAATTGAGTAAAACTTGTATGAAAAAAGAAAACTGCGAAAAAAACAGATACTTAAGATGAAAAAGTGAATAGTAAGAAAAATCTGTAAAAAATGTATAATGAAGAAATAGTTCTTTGTTTATACTTCTTCTACAGATTCATATATTATAACGAAGATTCATAAAAAAGGGATATGATATTAAAAAAAACAACATTCAAGGTACACCTTTTGTTACTATAAATATATATTCTACACTCTGTTTTGATAAATATAATTAGTTAAAAATATATTGTATATATTATACGTACTTTATTAATTATATTATATATTTGTATTTATATAAACTATGTAAAAACTTTATTTATAGTTTTTGTTTACTTTTCTTTTGTTTAAAGTTGTTATCAACATGATCTATCTATATATGTGTGTGTGTATATATATATATATATATATATATATATATATATATATATATATATATATATATATATATATATATATATATATATACACACATATATATATATATATATATATATATATATATATATATCATGTTTTTTTTAAGGCATTAACTTTAGCTATCAAATCTTTTATTTCGTCTGGATTAGCATCTCCTGCTGGAATAACTTCAATATCAAGTGTTCTTGGTCTTTTTCTTCCTCCTGTTTTGTCAGATTTTTTTCTTGTATTTCGACGAAGTTGTGTTAGATTAACCTGTTTTTTGTTGTTGTTTGTAACAGATAGACCAATAGCCTGGCGTGCTGCCAATATATGATAACATCTACTTTCAGCTGGACATGAACATGTCTCTTTTGGAAACAGTTTTACTACACGTGGTTCTATAGATCCTTTTACAATAAAGGTCGCAAGTTTGGGGTCAAGAGCAATATGAGAATTTCTAATGATTTCATTGGCCCTTTCAACAGAAGTTATCATAGTTGTATCTTGTACTAACTCTAAACTTTTAGATGTATTATGCATAAATTGATTGTTGATGGTTTCTTTAATACGTTGAACAATTTGTTCTGGTGCTGTTGTATCTGGAATATGAAGATCACATTCTTCATAAGTACCTTTCAATTCAGCTCTTAATTCATATTGGCCAGTTCCTTTTCGAGCACGATAAATTTCCACCATACTATATTGTATAAGTCTATATAAGCTTAAAGCCATTGAATCTACAGTAGCCTTCTGATTGATTTGTTGTAATTTCATGAAAGTTAAACTGTTTAATTCTCCAAGATCCAAGTTTGTCTACTACACTATGAATTGTTTTGATATAGTACTCAGAAAAAGGCTGACTCCATGCTGATAACATTGTTATTAGTTTATCTTTATATGAAGATTCAGAACGAAGAAGAGATTGAATACATTCAGTGTAATATGCTAATTCATCTTTTGTCTTCACTCCATGCAATTGTAACCATCGCTTACTGTCCTGCAAAACATGGTTCCAACAAAGAAAATGTGAAACTGATGGAAAACTTTCTTTGATGATCTCTGTTATAGCTCGTTCTTGATCTGTGACAATAAAAACATTCTTTAAAGCAAGTTCTGGGCATACTAATTTCATATGTTGCCAAAATATGGAATGGGGCATTAGTGTTTTTCGCTCATGTATCATAAAAGCTAGTGGAATGATTGGACTTGGGTCAAACTCAGTTTCTCTAAATAGCAAAACAGAAAGATAGAAGTCGCCTAAAGAAAAAGTTGTATCATATGATAGTTGCTGAGGTAGTTGAGACAATTTCAGTACTTGCTGAAAAATTTGCAGTGTTTCATCTGAGTACATAACTACCACCAAATCAGGAAATGTTATTATATTATGAATAAAATTTGTATCATACGCTAATTCATGAAGATTGTATAAACTATCTCTAGATAAACGCTGCTGATTGCGTGTTGATTTTAAAGTATTACTGACTTGTTCCATGTTACGTGGAACTGCTGTTATATTTATATCAGCTGTATTTGATAATATTATGTCTTTGTATACTTTTTGGACAGAACCTGTACTTTCCTTAATTTGGTTTATAACACCTGGCTGTGTCCTGATAAAATCTCTATTACATCTAGTAGCATTTCCATGAGGAAACTGCACAGCCTTAGCTTCATCACCTATGTATGATATCAGAACTGAATTAACATAATCAGCATGATAGTGTGCTCTACGTACAAACACATCACTTACTGTGTATTGTGCAACAAGAATTCTAAAATACTTCCTTTTAATTCCATTAATTGTCTTTGAACCCCCTTGCCTCCACCTGTAACCATCTGCACGCCAATTTTCTAAATAATATTTTATGTTATTGTGAATAATTTTCCTTGGTTTTTAATTTA